TCTTTAAAAGAAGATTTTTTAAGTTTTTACTATATGCATATAGGTAAAATCAATGACCACCCGGGGGTGGGGCCAATTTTGACCATAGGGCTTTAATTTGAACAAACTTGGTAGACACTCACTAGAAGATGTTTCATGCTTAATATCTTAGCTCTAGCTCTTTGGGTTCTTTAAAAGAAGATTTTTTAAGTTTTTACTATATGCATATAAGGAAAATCAATGACCCCCTGGGGCGGGGCCAATTTTGACCGTAGGGCTTTTATTTGAACAAACTTGGTAGACATTCACTAGAAGATGTTTCATGCTTAATATCTAAGCTCCAGCTCTTACGGTTCTTTAAAAGAAGATTTTTTAAGTTTTTACTATATGCATATAGGGAAAATCAATGACCCCCCGGGGCGGGGCCAATTTTGACCCCAGGGCTTTTATTTGAACAAACTTGGTAGACACTCACTAGAAGATGTTTCATGCCAAATATCTAAGCTCTAGCTCTTATGGTTCTTTAAAAGAAGATTTTTTAAGTTTTTACTATATGCATATAGGGAAAATCAATGACCCCCTGGGGCGGGGCCAATTTTGACCCCAGGGCTTTTATTTTAACAAACTTGGTAGACGCTTACTAGAATATGTTTCATGCCAAATATCTAAGCTCTAGCTCTTGGGGTTGTTTAAAAGAAGATATTTAAAGATTTTTCTTTCGGTTGCCATGGCAACCAGAGTTCTGCATGGAATTAAATTCTTTGAACAATTTTTAAAGGTGACCACCAAAGGAACATTCCTGTCAAGTTTGGATGAAATTGGCTCAGTGGTTTATGAGGAGATGTCATTTAAAGCAAAAGTTTATGGACGGACGACGGACGACGGACGGACGGACGCCGGACGAAAAGCGATCACAAAAGCTCACCCTGTCACTTTGTGACAGGTGAGCTAAAAACACAAACAACAACGATTTTAAATGATGAATAACTTGGAAAACAAAACCCAATTACTCAGTAAAGATTTAAATAGAAAGTGTGAAAGCATATCACACACTGATATACATTGTTCTACAGAAGCGCGAAAATATGACTATTAAGAAATTATTGGTGTAGAAATATTGGCGCTAAACATGAATTCGCGGATCGAATGTCACCGCGAAGATCGTTAAAATTTGAAGCCCGCGAATATTTCTACACATACAGTATTAAGAAGAAATAAAGAAGTAATAGTAAAAAATTATATTTTTTTATGGAAAATTCTAAGTTCAAGGGGAAATAAATCTAATAATATTGGTGCTAGAGTTATGAACCTTGTCACATAAGATGTGGTTGATGATAAGGAACATATATTTGAAGTTTGAAGTTGATGACTTAAGAAATGAAAAAGTTATAGTGATAAATATTTTACTGCACCAAAACTTTAATCAGAAATCTGGATGCGGAAGCCGACGCCGGGGCGAGTAGGACAGCTCTCCATATTCTTCGTATAGTCCAGCTAAAAATGCTATGCCACCGCATAAATACAACAGTAGTAGATTTTTTTTGTTACTTAACTATATAATTGAACTTTGCCATAATGCAGTAGTGTCTAGTGAATTTTGGGGTGAAGGTCATATTTCAGCATGTCAAATCATTAGACACAAGTGCAGATGTGTCTAATGTTAAAATACAAAGGCCATAGTGCAATAATTCAAAAATAAAAGATTTTTTTATTGACAAATAACAGGTATTAACTGTATAACATAGCTGCATTAAACTTTAAAATGCAGGTACAGAAACTTTTTCTTAAATACCATCTTTTCAATTAAGCATTACCAATTTCTAAAAACATAATCAATATTTAAAAAATATGGTGTGAATCATAATGTCCTTATATTTATAACTGTCTCAGCTAGAGTTCATGAATCATTTCATAAATATCTCTGAAAATCATGACCTTGCTCCCAGCTATTGAATATTTTACATAAAAACTGCAGAATACTGTATTCCTAGAAATGTTCGCGGATACAATATTTCGCGTTTTTCACAACGTCGGCATTTTCGCGGAGACAAACTTTTGCGGATATGTAGTAACCGCGAATTCCGCGAATGTTAAGTCGTTACGGCCTAAATAACAGCTTTTGGAGGCTACATTTTTGATGCATGACTTTGCCTGTTGGGTGCTTTTAATTATTTTATTTTTTTTGACAATTCGCACCTTAAGCGCAACGTTACTCGATCCATTTTCATCTATTGACTAGTTGAACAAGGACGGTTGTTCCGTGAACACTTTCATATTTCCTTACCTTTTTCATTATGTTATTAAGTAAGATTTAGTCAGACTCGTTAGCTTTTATTCTAATTTGAATCCTAACTGACTTTATCTTCAAAATGTCGATACGTATTTTTTTTACACATTATCGGACTGTACATCGCTTTCATTATATAATAACAACATAACAACTGTTTATCAATGTAGCACTTTATCGCTTTTGTACATTTAACAAAGGATTACACCTACTCCAAGCAAATAAAATCCAAGTCATTCAATGTTCGCAAACTGTAAATGCGTTTGTCAACGCTGTGACTAGCAAATAACGTCAATAAGCATGATAATTACTAATAATTGATATTTTCTTTCAGCGTGCAAACAAGTATCAATAACATACATAAATTATTCTTTACACATTTCTATAGCACCTGTGTTTATATGTTTTTTGTGTAAGTAGATTATAATAAATATTCTGCACTTTTTATGATATATTTGGCTGAAGCTAGAAATGTTCGCGGATTTGTTATAAGTGACATATTCGCGGGTATAAAGATTCGCGGAATCATGCCTACCGCGAAAACCGCTAACTTAAAATGCGCGAAATCTTTTCTTGGAATACAGTATGTACAAGACATTTCAATGTTAGTTGTTTCTTTTCACACAAAAATATTTAAAAGTTATTACTTTATGTACATAATGAAAATTAATGAACATTAAAGAAGGTTTTTTTAAGATTTAACAAAAAGGCATTGATCTTTGCATTGGACTTCACAAGCAAGTCCATTTCATCTTTTTTCAGCTGTCTGAGCAAGATTTTCAGCTTCTTTCACAAGAACAAACCATAAAACAGCTCAGGAGGAAAGGGATGCTTAAACCCTTTTCAGCTTCGTTCTAAATAAGTTAGTTACTGTAAATGAAAAAAAAAATATCCAAAATCTTCAGGCAAATGCATATTTTTAAAAGTAAAAGAATATAAAAATAAAAAAGACGCTCATAATCATATATAACAATAAAGATACCCAAAATAAATTGGAAGAAATTGCCTTTGCCTTTACTGATTTTGCTTCCTACTGTTTGACCAACATTATTTTCTTACAAAATTTCCTCACTTTTCTCTGACTTTTGCTTATTTTTCAAATTTCAAAACTTCCTGACTTTTCCCAGACCTTGAAAAAAAAAACATTTTCCCTGACTTTTCTCTGACCGTGGGAACCCTGTAATATGCCACCACATTGCAGATGCTGCCATGGCATAAAAGGCAATTATATCCATTTCTAGATTTTTCCCCTTTTCCCCCAGTGACACAATTTTCTCCTCTCCACAGCTCTTGCCACTGGGCTACCCTGCCCCTTAAAGTGAAACTAGAAATGTGTCATCATGCCACGGATGCCCCCGCATGCAGCCAAAATTTCAGATGGTGCATTAATTATTTTTTTCATTTTAAGTTCAAAGCCCTTAAAACTATACAATGTTAACACAAACCATTTTCATACAATGTTCAAGGCACTGAAATTATTCAGTCTTAACCTTTTAAAAATAGCATATTGCATATTTGTAGCCAAAATTATGGCTAAAAGTATGAGTGCTGAAACTGAAAGTTCAAAATTTTTCCAACATTCAGGAAAGATAAGTGTCTAAAATCATTGAACCACGACCAAATTCAAACTTAAACTGCTTATTCCTAAGATGTATCTATATTATTTTCAAAGTGAAAGGGACATAACTCTGCCAAAAATTCATCAAACCATGACCAAATTCCAACTTGACCTGCCCATTCCTTTGACATATCCATATGTCAAATTTGAGTTAAATGTGTTTTACCATTGGGGAGATAATAAATGGAAACTGAAAATTTCATATTACTTTCAAAGTGAAAGGGGCATAACTCTGCCAAAAATCATTAAACCATGACCAAATTTGAACGTGACCTGCGCATTCTTTTGACGCATCCATATGTCAAGTTTGAGTTGAATGTGTTGTACCTTTGGGGAGATAATGAACGGAAACTAAAAATTTCATATTGTTTTCAAAGTAAAAGGGGCATAACTCTGCCAAAAATCATCGAACCATGACCAAATTCAAACTTGACCTGTATTTTTTCATGACATATCCATATATCAAGTTTGAGTTGAATGGGTTGTACCTTTGGGGAGATAATGAACGGAAACTGAAAATTTCATATTATTTTCAAAGTAAAAGGGGCATAACTCTGCCAAAAATCATCGAACCATGACCAAATTTGAACTTGACCTGTATTTTCATATAACATATCCATATGTCAAGTTTGAGTTGAATGTGTTGTACCTTTGGGGAGATAATGAACGGAAACTGAAATTTCATATTATTTTCAAAGTAAAAGGGGCATAACTCTGCCAAAAATCATCGAACCATGACCAAATTCGAACTTGACCTGTATTTTCTCATGACATATCCATATGTCAAGTTTGAGTTGAATGTGTTGTACCGTTGGGGAGATAATGAATGGAAACTGAAATTTCATATTATTTTCAAAGTAAAAGGCATAACTCTGCCAAAAATCATCGAACCATGACCAAATTCGAACTTGACCTGTATTTTCTCATGACATATCCATATGTCAATTTGAGTTGAATGTGTGCAACCGTTCTTAAGATAATGAACGGAAACTGATGATGACGGAATGACAGAATGACGGAATGACGGAACAGGGTAACACTATATGCCCCGGCCATTACATGGCGGGGGCATAAAAAGCACTGCCTGGGTAAAATTTATTACCAATAATAAGATACCTTTAGGATTCTCTGGAGGAACGTTAACACATCTGCTCTGATCAATGGTTTTTAAGATATTCAAAGCTTCATCTACAGGAATTGGTACTCTCCTGTTTCTATATATGGGTCCAAACAGCTGATCTGTCATCTTTGTTTAACTGCTTCACTATATTGAATTCAAAATTTAATAAATTACCTGAAAATAATCAAATAAATATATGTCAAGCGCAACAAATTACACATTTCTCAAATTCTATTTAAATAACTAGAAGTTTTTGTCTGGATATTAATTAAAACCGGGGCAACAATTAACTTTTTTTTACATTTTCTAAAAGTAAACAAAATGTTTAAACAAATCTTTAAAAGAAAATTAAAGAAAAAAGTTTTTCCTTCTTTATAAATTTTAATAGGTTGATGTAGTCACACTTGTGGTTATGTCCAGGTATGAATCATTACCATGTTAAGAAAATATAAACAAAATTCAAATCATTTGACCTTGACTGTTAAGGTCATTTAAAGATCATGGTTATATCAAGATTATTCAACATGTCTGTCTGGTCCAAAAAATTCCTTTTTTTACAATTAAATCTGTACATAAATAACAAAATTATTACAACTTAAACAAAATTCAATAATTTGACCTTGACAGTAAAGGTCTTTTAAAGCTCAAGGATAGTTCAACCTTTTAGAAGGACTTCTTTTTACTAGTATATACCCCCCCCCCAAACTTCGTTTCGGGGGTATAAAAAGCTGAGCTAACAAGAGCCCGGTTTGAGCCAGGTGATGCTCCCCGAATAGGTTTTGGACACAGGAAAGTACACCTCTTGTAGTTGAAAAGTTCAAAGTGCAATTATTCCAAAACGAAGCAAGGCAGAGTTACTGTTCTTTGCAATGCACTTCTAATAAATGTGATCTATCAACCTACAAGTTACTTGTTTATATCTCTTATGATTTCCGAGTTATGTCCTGGACAACTTCAAAAAGTAAAAATAAACAAAGGGCAATAACTCCACAATTAGGCAAAGCAGAGTTATGATTCTTGTGCACTGCACATCTACCCATTGAAATATATCTACCTACAAAGTTTCATGTTGATATCTCTTATAGTTTTACAGCTATGTCCTGGACAAGATTTTTCTAAAAGGGGAGATAATTCAAAAATGTGGCTTAACAGAGTTATGGTTCTTTTGCACTGCACTTCTACTCAATGAGATATACCTACCTACAATGTTTCATCTTGATATCTCTTATAGTTTTAGAGTAATGTCCCGGACAAATTTCAAAGTGTTAAAATTAACAAAGGGCAATAACTCCAAAATTAGGACAAAAAGAGTTATTGTTCTTATGCACTGCACATCTACCCATTGAGATCTATTCACCTACAAAGTTTCTTGTTGATATCTGTTATAGTTTTAGAGTTATGTCCCGGACAAGATTTTTCTATAAGGGGAGATAATTCAAAAACCTGGCAAAATAGAGTTATGGTTCCTTGACACTGCACTCCCCCTCAATGCCCTCTACCACCGTATGAAGTTTAAACAAATTATCTCCAAGGGTTTTCAAGTTATGCTCCGGACAAGACAACGGACGGACGGACAGATTGACAAGGCGCCGACTATATGCTCCCCCGAAATTTTTCAAGAAATCAAGAAAAAAAAACACATTGCATTGAGCCCTTTAGCATATGATATGTATAAATTGACTGAATCATAATAAGAAATACCTTAGTTATCTTTCTTGATACTACACCCGTTATCAGATTGTGTTCAATAACTGCTTATAAAATGCTGTACTAGTCACTGTGTGCTTCATTTATGTCAACACATGCTGTATAAAATCCTTAATATTTACCATAACTTCTATTTCAGCTGATTTTTAAATGAATTTCCCGACAATTGTCCTAAAACACTCACTGTTTTTTGTTTCATTATTGTTATATAATATAATAAAAGTCATGTTTGAACTTCAAAGCTTAATATTTTTTAAGGTTTTTGAAGTGTTTTCATGATGGAATGGTTTCTTTTCTGTTTTGAAATTTTAATTTTAAGATTTTGGTTTTCCTTGGTTTTCAAAATTGCAAGATATGATATTGCCAAGTTTGTTATTGAGAAATGCATGTATACTGCCTTATTTCTACATTTTGCCCCACAATAAAGAAATAAATGCTTGAAACATAATTTTCTCTCCCACAGAATTTACAGAATCTTTGTAAATACTCACAAGACAAGGTACAAATAGAATATGTAAGCTCGCTAGTAAGGTAAACAAGCAATTATCATACTCTTGTCACTACATAAGCAGGATCAAAAATTATTTTCACTCTTCCTGCAGGACAAGTAGCTACTAAATCCAATGTGCAGGCAAATTTTTCTACTCGTCCTCCATTGAATTCTCTTAAATTCTACTTGTAATTACGAGTAGACAAGTTGAATTTTCTATTCATGTCAGATACAACCGTTATATTTGATTATATATGATTATGACCAGCATCATTCTAAAAGACCATTAAATTGGCTATTCAATTATGTCATTGAATGAATGAATTTTTGTCTGTATCATAGTAATGTCTTAAGTTTCTCAGTCTACTATTAAGGAAATCATGTTTATACAACAGATATCAAAATATCCAATTTTCTCAGGATGAATATGTATAACTTATGTTTCAACATTTCTCTATTTTAAGTAAATTTGTTGGAAAAGTTGAAAGTTCTTTAAAAGTAATCTCAGACAATTTTTAGGAATGGACAGATGGACTGACGACCCTCTGAGGGTAAATCTTTAAACATCCCTGGTTGTTACAGATAATAACATTTTAAAAGCAAAGTTTTTAAGAAAACTCTTGAAAGAAAGTTGCTAGACTTATGGACATTATCTTAAGTTTAAAGAAGGTCCATTTATAATCTCCAAGAAGAAAAGTGAAAAATAACCAGTTTTAAATACCATTTATAATTTAAAAAAGCGCACAAAAAAGAAAACAATATTCAAATAAATTTCTTATGTTTATAAATTCTGACAATTTTTGTGCTAGAGTTGTAAACTAGAGAGCTGTCGTTGATAGAAAATTTTGTACCAATAGAAAATTTTGTATTGATATTGTATCGAGAGACAAATATCGACAATATACCGATATATCGATGACAAATATTGACGATATACCGATATATCAACTTTGACATTAGAATACAATGAAAATCATCTAAATAGGTGTTATTAATTGAGTGTTATGCATGCTTCTATTAGACATTAAAAATACATTTACTACAAAGTACAAACTAACAGAAAGTTTGTTTTTCCTGTTATTTTTGTCACCAACAATTGAAAACAGAGTTTAAAGTTCAAGTTAGCCAAGAAAACTGGAAAAAAGGTATATTCACTAATAGAAATATTAATAAACAATTTTAGCTTTTATTGATATTTGAAAGTGTGTATCGATATTGTGATATTCAATGACAGCCCTATTGTAAACCTTGTAACAAATGATGTGATTGATGATTAGAAACATACTAACTTAAAAGACGTGTTTAATCTCCAGACTACCATCTATCCATGTTTCATAAAAATATTTTCAGTACTTTTTGTGTTATCACAGGATCCAGTTTTGCGGACAGACATGCTAAAAGTTTGATATTTAAGTGGCTACACTTTTGTTCTCTCTTTAGTTCTTTCAGCCTAGTAAGAGAAAAAGTAGCCACATAAGAGCTTACTGAATTTAAGTAGCATCGATATGTTTGTACTGACAGCCAGATGGATGGCTGGAAAGTAAGGGCCCCTCCGGATTTTGTTTATGTGTAACATTTGGCAAGTTTTGACAATTTTGTTGTCTAAATGCTAAAATTGACATTTTTACATAACATACATACCATTATAAAAACTTTCTTTGGAACAATATACATGAAGATCTACTAACTTAGAATCAGCAGTATCAAGAAAAAGCCTAGTTTGTTGAACAAGTGTAAAATGGCTGGCACTAACACCTTCTCACAAGATCTGGTTGGGATTCAAAGTATTTATATACTGTGAGCTTGGATGTGCATTAAAAATATGACCTAATCCAAATTGAGTACACATCTTTATCATATTTATAACCGAACAATTTCATTTTCATAAATCTTGCCCAAGCACTAAATTGACTAATCATACAAACCATTAAAATCTTATTTGCACTAGCCGGAACATATCTAGTTGAGTGCCAATAGTGGATCCCATAAGATATACAAAGTCAATACTTGCACACTTTCATATTGAGGGGTTTTTATTGGCAGCTACAGCTACATTTTTATTGAACATGCATATTTCACATTTCAAAGCTAACACAATTCAGAATAAAACTTATAAACTTAATAATAACACACATTGTACCAAAAACATGTTGGATTTATATTGTTTTGAGTCATGATTCATAATTATTTGTTTGCTTCTATTTCAAATCGTACACTTAATAAAATTAGTGTACTGGGCAGGAACCAGTTTCCGGACAGAATTCGAGTTTTTTTAATTGTCTATTTTTTAATAATAAACATGCATTAATAAAACTAACATACCAAAAACCTGAGCTCTAACTACGTCCGATAACACAATTAATACTGCCTGGTGACGTAAGCAATGTACAAACTGAAGGGTTAAATTAGGTCATCAAAAGTGTAAATTGTTCACTCTTGCAGAACCAGTTTCCGGACATATATTAAGCTGCTATTCATATCTGTTTTTAACTGATAATTATTCTAATATAACAAAAAATTTCTTTTTACATATTAGCTTTCTTATATAATTAAGCTGATTTACTGAAAAATGTTTATGATAGGAAAAAAAACGATAACGTGCTGGGTGTCGGAATTACTGAAAAGTGAAACGGATATTTTTGTGTGTATGGCAGCAACGAAGTGCGAAAGTGGAGTAAACCTAGCTAAACATCGTTTTCCGCTACGTTACAGATTTAGCTCTGGGCTTACACACAATGAACTTCGAATGAAGTACATTGAGCATTAATGCTACCCCAAATTATATCCCGAAATAAACAAAATATTGCGCATGCGCAGAACAAATTACATGCCCCAAAGGGATATAAGGCTGTTTTTAAAACACAGGTAAGATATCCTCACGAAATTTTAATGATGTATCAACTTGGAAGGAAGTTTATTTTCTCAAACAATCAAAACAAGCATCTTCATGACATATAATACCGATTGTCATCGATTAAGCCAAAATTAAGCCGTTATAATACTTGTCCGGAAACTGGTATTGTCCGGAAACTGGTTCCTGCCCAGTAGGCCCTATGGTCCATTTTTGAAAATAGATGCTAGAATTCCCAAAACTTGAAGTCCTGCGAGATTTCATTTGAAAGCAGCCATATGTTTTTGGTAAACATTCTCAACATATTTCCCTAACAAATAGCTGGGTACACAATGTTATTGAATTTTCATTTAAAAACAAAACATGAATTGATCCAAATTGATTTGTTCACCGTAGGGAACGTGTTACAGTATCGCGTTTTCCGGTTACAGTATAGAATTTTCAAGATGGAGGATTATTTATGAGAAGAGAGGTAGGTGTTTTTTATTCAGGTCCATACTACAAGTAGTTTAGTTTCTAAAAGATGTTTTTGTGCTTTGCTTGTAAGGAACAGAATCCGGTATCTAGTCATATATTTCTTCAGACTCTGCACCGCAGATTTATCGCTATATTGTCTCATAAATATGCAGATTTGACAGTTTGAAAATTTGAATCGAGAGACCAACGCATTTTTCTCCAATTTCGACATTTATGTATGCATGCCTAGAAAAAGTAAATCTGCAAAACGTTACTCCTTTATGTTAGGAAACGTTTATAAAAGTAAATGACCAGTTAAACCTATTTTCCTGTTCGTTAAAATGCGTTTGAAAAAATAAACAATGTTACAGTATAGAGCGAGGTGATTTATGCAGGGTTACAGCATAGACCTAGCGACTTTTGATCCGATTTTGTTACCAGTTTATACCCAGATGTCGGTTACAGTTTAGACTTCGATATTTTATATTTATACTAGGTAACATGTATGAATGTTACATAGACTTTTAAATCTCTGTGAGCTTATTGGCCCGATGGCTATTCGTCCGTCTGTATTACACATGTGTGTGCAATCTCATCCGCTTAGTAACTACATGACTAAATGTGATGAAATGTAAATGCTTTTCTACCGATTAAGTTGTCCAAATGGTTTCGGTTGCAATCGGGGTTACGAAAACCCAAAACATAGATTTTGAAAACAGGCAATGTTTAAAGACCCTTTTCATCTCGAACCAAAAGCATTCAAATAAAATCATGCTTCTTTGTTGAAGTTACGATTATTTTGTCATAATTAAATTAAAAGTCGTTTTTTTATTTCAGACATCCTGTATAGCAGTTTTCATGTTTCTGAAAAAGAAAATAATATTGAAAGTTATAGAGTATAAATTAAGGTCAGACAATATTACACTATCTTCTCTAGTGAGCCTGATGGACGTACATAATAGTATAGTCGCAGAGTCGGGATAAGCTAGGCCGTCGACTTCAAATCATCTTTCATTTACTGCTGTAGTTGAAATCCAATCATGACTTTGGATTCTTGTATGTGGGGAATCTAACAAGCTAATTTACGGAAGGTCGGTGGTTCTAGTCCGGTGCCCGCTCGTGTTTGAAATGTTTCACAAAGGGAATATGGGGTCTTTCTTTACACTAAAGCAGGAATGTTTTCACCTGACCTCAGTGTCGTTGAAAGTTACTTAAAATCCAAGAGAGCCAAAAGTAACCCCTTTTAAATACTTACAAGATGCATTATGGTATTTAAAATAAAATTTAAGATTGCAATATTGCTCACTTAAATACTGTGTTATCATTCTTAGGGTATTGCCTGCTTGTTAATTGTGTCTTTTGACGGCTTATCTATGGTATGAAGGCTTCATAACCACCGATCCCCTCTCAAAATTTCATTTTATTTAGTTTCACTTATTGTATTCTCGTTTAGGGCACCCGCAAATTTTAACCTGTGGGTAATATGCCGCTTTTCATAGAATGGCAATAACATGTCACATTGAAGGTTCCATGATAACCGCCGTATGAACACATCCACAGATGTTAAAAAATCTAAAGTGTACCAGAAGCCGGTGCTAGGAGGCGTGTACGGTAGCTTGCAGTTACCATTATCGTCCATGAACAGGTTTAATCAAACTGAGCCTGCAACATTTTAAGGTTTTCCGTGTTGGACTTTTGTTAAGGATTCTTTTTTTCTCTATTTTATTACTAATAGGCATTATATTAATGTTTAACGAAATCAAGCAATAATGTTTCTTCTCTCAATACAATTCGATAAAAGTTACTGTTGTTGTCGTGAAAACAGTCCTTACTTAGGACATTACTTATTCTGCAAAAAGTCTCAATCTGAAACTTAAAGTAAGAAAAATAGCAAACTATAACTTTTCTGCTGAAGAAAAAAAGTAATACAACATTTCAAGAATGTATTAAATAGAAAGGTGTGAGTTATTTCATAACAATAATGGATACACGAACTTTGTTTGAAATATGGCAAGTATCTAAACTGTAACCGAAATCTGGGTATAAACTGTAACAAAATTGGATCAAAGTCGCTAGGTCTATGCTGTAACCCTTCAAAATTAACCTCGCTCTATACTGTAACATTGTTTATTTTTTCAAACGCATTTTACAAACAGGAAAATAGGTTCAACTGGTCATTTACTTGTATAAACGTTTCTTAACCCAAAGGACTAACGTTTTGTAGATTTACTTTATCCAGGCATGCTTAAATAATGTCGGAATGGGAGAAAAATGCGTTGGTCTCTCGATTCAAATTTTTAAACTGTCAAATCTGCACATTTCTGAGACAATATAGAGATAAATCTGCGGTGTAGGGTCTGAAGAAATATATGACTAGATACCGGATTCTGTTCCTTACAAGCAAAGCACAAAAGCAACTTTTAGAAACTAAACTACTAGTAGTATGGACCCGAATAAAAATCACCTACCTCTCTTCTCATAAATAATCCTCCATCTTGAAAATTCTATACTGTAACCGAAAAACGCGATACTGTAACACGTTCCCTACGGTGTTGTTTATCAAATGTAACGTTATTTCTATTTGACCCAAATTTGATTAATAAGGGTAATTTTAATAGGTTTTAAGTACGGCACTCGCACTGCCAAAATTTTGGTAGCCTTTGCAAAAAGGGTTGACCAATAACTTTACTGTCGCACAACGTCAAAATAAAAGCGACATATAAACAGATAAAGTTATGGAAGCCAGAACTAATGTATGCCATGCACTCTTTGATCTGCTTAACTAGAATCTATATCATTTTAAAATTAACCTGTTGCATGCAGAAGTGTTTGGTTTATCGATTTGTTCACTGGAACAGTCAGTGTAACTGAAGAATTTTTTCTGGGTTCACTGTTGGATCATGGATGTAAGTTTTACCTGTAGGATGATACGAGTCTGATGGAAGGGCTATGCCCCCCCCCCCCTTTTTTCTGCTGCCACTTTGCAAAAGGTCAATGGTAATTATACTGCATATCAGACAATATGAATGTGGTAAACTATTGTTGTATCGCACTCAAATATGTAAGTGGAGATACATAAATTTTTATGACGAGTCGACGGACGAGTTTTCTTTTCCGCGCTCATAATCTTCTATTTCGCTAATGTTTTGCACCCATCCAAATATGCTGCAATGAAATGATTTTACAAAAAATATTTTTTGTACTCGTGTGACCTGAATACGTAAGGTTGAAAAGCAAAAAAACATAAACATACACAAGACTTTGCCAAAACAGACTAAGCATTTAGTCATTCCTGCGTTGTTAAAGTAAAATGGCGGACAGAAGAAATCAATCATCGTACTGAATATTTTCGTACTTTCTCACTTCCGCCCTTTAATGACTCGTTCGCGTGACACAAACATAAGAGTTATCGTGCCAATAACCATAAGATAAACACATGGAACCGTTAAGAAAACAGATGGTAAGATATTTACACTAAAAATTAAATCGAAGAGTGATATAGAATCTGATATATTTTAGATAGTTGGTTACTGGTCTCCCTAATTACCGACAAGAACCGTCAGGAACCGACAAGAAGTAAAAATGGAAAAATTCGAATTAAATTCACTTATTTATCATCTAATAATCACAATTCCTAACATTTTTAACATGAAAAACCACAGATACTTATATTTAGCTCCATGTAAAAACATAATGAATTCGTTCTGAACCATGTCCATGATGTCAATAGGCAAATAAAGTCACTCTCAGTTTTTCACCCCATCTTCGTATCATTGATATTACATTAAGAGTTTGTATATAAGTGTTAAATCATAATTATTTTATTAAAATTATGGTGTATTAAAGATATGTTAAATATATTCTAATTCAATTATGAATATCATTATTAATGAATGATCGACCTTATGAGAAAATTCGCGGCTACCGACAAGAAAGATTCATATTATTGCTAGATCGAGATGGCGTAGGTTTTGAAATATGTAAAAGTATTGTCATCCTATATTCAATAAATAATTCTAAAACATTTCGTTCTCATTGATTACAAAATATCCTGCATTTAGGCAATATTTCTGTACCGACATGAAATATGTTCATGTCTACCGACAAGAAATATTTTTATGTTCACAGTACCAACAAGAACTGCTTTCATGTCTACAGTACCGACAAGGAATGTTTTCATGTCTACAGTACCGACTAGACAGACTATCATGTATTTCTTCATGTTTTCTTTAAAAAGACATTATGTAACATATATTTAATGAAAGTGTTTAGTTATAGTTGTTTAAAGTTAATAGTCATTCAAAACTGTATCAAAATATATTTCATATATAAAGTTTTACATACCTGCCATTTAAATTATCCAATTTTAATCCATTTACAATTTTTACACAAATACACTATATATATATATATATATATATATATATATATATATATATATATATAATATATATATATATATATATATATATACAGTATAACATATTCAAATCTCGTGCGCATATAGTAAATTTTATAATACCTTGGTTTGGTCCCAGAAAACATTATCACCGCGTAAAGAAATCTGCGTAAAGAAAAGGAATCAACAATACCCTAGTGATTACAATAAGCGTCTATTAAATGAGGCTAGCAAGTCTTATAAACGTATTACATATCGTTATGTGCAACAATATAAACATAAAATGTCAATTTATCTAAGATCTTTGTAGCCTAATTAATTCGGCGTGAACTGTTTGACCCATTTTACAGACTTTTTTTTCTTAAGTTGTCAAACCGTTGAAAAAGACAGCGCCCGTCCAAAATTATCTCGGTGTCTCTTTGACAAGTCTAATTAGTTGGACTAAGATCTTTGCAAACAAATAATCCTAAGTCGTACTGGAACTTTTTTAATAAATTAAATCCAAAGCCTTCTCACAACAAGATGCCAAGCATGCACGATTTTTATAATTATTTTAAGGATGCAAGTTCAGTCTCCTTGTCATCTAGTGCAAATCCAATGGAACAAAATAATTTTAACGAAGAAAAAAATTCCCAAATCACCACGAACGAAATAATAAGAAACATAAATTGTCTTAAGAATGGTAAAGTCTGCAGTCCTGTCGATAATATACTTAACGAATACATAAAAAATACACAGGATATTTTTTTTACCGATTTACACAAAACTTTTTAACATTGTTTTCCAAACTCCTCACAGTGATTACCTCCCTTGGCAGAATTGTAATCACTGCCTTCAAAGACGTCACATGATGATGAAAGTCACATGACGTAACGTCGAAATTCAAATGTAAATATCGACCGTTACAAAGAAAATCTAACGTTATTTTTCTCTTTCTGTTTTAGTTTTAACTTTTAGTGCCTACGTTCGATATAGTTTATCAAAAAATTATCGAAAGTATACAAAATAACGAAAAATAAATTCAAAAGCTAAAAAATATAAAATATCAAAATATCGTCTCGGTAGAAAATAATCTCATAATTTTTAAAATTATTTCTAAATATTCATATTATTTATTTATTTATTCATAAACATTGTTAAATAAATGAAAGAAAACTTATCTGATAGATAAAAGCAGTAGATAAAACATTTTTTGAAAAAATATAGTATATCAGAAATTCTGATATATCGGGACCTTGGTGGCAGAGATCTACGCCGAAGAATTAAGGGGAGATCACTGTGTGGAGATTGATTGTTTTCGACACAGGTTATATGCCATCATCATGGCTTAATGGAGTTATTGTTACATTATTCAAAAACAAGGTGATCCAAATGAACCATCCAATTACAGGCCCATAACTTTACTTAGTTGTCTTGGGAAATTGTTTACCTCAATACTTAATTGCAGATTAACTAAATTTTTAGAATCTAATAATATTCTTAATGCAAATCAGGCTGGCTTTCGAAAAGGATTTTCTTGTCAGGATAATATTTTTACCCTTAATTCAATAATCAACATCTTAAAACATAAGAAAAAAATGTTTTGCGCATTTATTAATAATAATATCTGTCATATGTTGCGGTTCGGACCGGAATATCCGTCCCGAGGGGGCGGTAACGAGGCTTGCCGAGGGACGGATATTCCGATTGAACCGCAAACGTATGTCAGATATTTTTTTCTTGCATATTTTGCCAAATTATTTCATATCTAAAATGTTTTACCTCAATATGATATATGTTCATGAAAATTAGAGTCATTTCATCCATAACTATTTTCTTACAATAGCGTATGAACTTGCAACTTAAATAACAACGGCGAAATGACGTCATCATAAGCACATATTTCCCCAAACTCCTCACAGTGATTACCTCCCTTGGCAGAATTGTAATCTACGCCGAAGAATTAAGGGGAGATCACTGTGTGGAGATTGATATTTCCCTTCTAAAACGACGTCATTTTAACGCGGTTCATTCATAAAGTGCACTAAATTGACGTTGTTGTTTGGCACGCGACTCATCTGGCACCCCCCCCCGCCCAGGCCAGATGAAATTTCCGGCATGGGTAAAATTCACGGAAACACCAGTCTGCTATGCAAGAAAGATTTTTCTGCGGCATTTGATAAGTCTTTGGCTAAAGTTGTTAAATTCTTACATCAATGGTAAGGTTCTAAAAGTCATTCAAGTCCAATCAAAGATATGTTAAAGGACATTTCTTCCTCTATCCTAGATATGCGTAGAGAGCTAAACAATCACATAATAAAGACGGCTTCACAGATAGGTGAAATAAAAGATGCTTTAATTAGACTAAAATCTCAGAGGCAGGTAAATTCTAATGTATTGAATGGTGAAGTCTAACATATAAAAAACAACACGGAGGTAATCAAAGAACAAATTTCTTCGGTAAATTCCTGTCTGGTTCAAAGGCTACAGTCTATTTCAGATCATCTTCGGTCAAAATCAAATGTTCCTTCTAACAGAACCGCTCATTATAAGAAAAGAAGCGTGGAAAATAAATCTCCTCATCAATCCCATGATTATTCCCTAGAAATGAATTGCTAAATGGATACTCTACAACCAGTATCAGCAGAAGAAAAGATACAGGACACAAACCAAACACATGTGAAATATATAGAGCCTTCCATTAACAAAATTAATGATACAGATTCACCAACCAAATCCAACATGTCCAGTAGATGGAAAACTCTTATTGTCGGGGATTCTATTCTGAAAGGAATTCATACACGAGGTCTCAAAAACAATGTTGATGTGCTAACATGTCCAGGGAAGCAGACAAGTGATGTGTGTTTTCGTCTGCGCAATTATGATTTGCGTGAATACAAAAACATTGTTATTTACGTTGGTGGAAATGATGCGGCAAACGACGGTTCCGTTGATAAAATTTACGAAGAACTCAAAGTTACGGTTGCTTCAATGCGTGATAAATGTGCTATCTATCTGTGTACTCTTTGTCCACGCCGTGATACAGATGTTGAACCAACTAACCGCGTACTTAAGATAATTTTTCACACAATAAATCTGTACTGTTAAATTTCTTATACAGGCCACCTAACAGTAACCAGTCTTGTGTTATGCTCTACTGAAGGTGGATTGAATCACAACACAATGTTCCGTTTTATATTTTAATGTTTCTTTTTTAGTGGAATACCACAGATAATATATAACATATACACAGGTTATCCTGATGTTTACAAATTAACATTAAAAACAGTAACAATTATTTCTAGTGGAGAGGAGCCACAACGTTATCACTTGGAAATCCAAAATCTAACTGTGTAAATTTTCTATCTTTACAATATTTCAAAAAAATGGTTTTGTTTTAAACTGACCAATAAAATTTAAACATCTATATATGTTTCTTAAATAACAAAATGACCAATCAGGTTTCAATACAAAATAATGTAACATATAGCAACATAGAATTTATAACAACAATCATCACCTGGATATTTTATCAGTCATAAGGTTTAACAACATGATAAGTACAGACAGCTTAATTGACCTTATCACCTATATATTATAAAACTTTTAGCACAGTTGATTGGGCAAAGAGGAAAAGTCGCATTTTAATCTTCCAGTTACATAATTTTAAATTTGACATCTGTTATTGAAACATACACTATTTGTAACTTAACATATTTGAAATTTCACAAATTTTGTTTTGAAAATATGACCTTTTAGAAAATGATTATATATATAAATATTTGTGTTTAAAAGAAAATCATCATGCATATTTATTCATTTTGTTTGTTTTTGTAAATGAATTTTATCATTTTTCGGCTGCACAACACTTGGATTGATTTCTATGAGCAGCAATTAATTACTGCAGAATTAAATAATCTAGATTTGTATGTAATTGGAGATATAAACATTAACTATTCATACCCTAGCAATTTTAATAATAGCAAATGGGCGCATATTGTTCAAGATTTTGGCCTCAAGTAATTAATCCAATCTCCTACTAGAGTAACTAAAGATACATCTACTATAATTGACCATTTATACGTATCTTCCCTTAACCATATTTATGATGTGAGTGTCTCTTATTTAAGCTTAAC